AGGAGGAGGAGGAGGAGGAGGAGGAGGAAGAGAGGAGTAGGGGAGAAGCAAGGGAATAAGGAAAGGGAAAGGAGAGGAGGAAGGAAGGAAGTAAAGAACGGAGGGAGGGTGAAAAAAAAAGAAAAATAGGGTGGTGATAATACAAAATAGGTACATGGGATGGTAATTAAAGCAACTCAGAACGTATATTTTAACCTTTTATAGAGGAAAAAAATAGATGTAAACTGATAAAGATAAATACGAATAATACCTATGTGAATATATACCTGTAACTATATATGAGAATAAAAATAAAAAAAACTTTTTAAAAAAAGAATGTAATTGGACAGTTGGAGATAACCGGGAGGGATGGGGTGAGATGGGAAGAAATTAACAGAAACTTTGGACACGAAAGCTCAGATCCGGCTTTGCTACACTGAAACCACAGCTCTAGTAAAGTGTACTTTCACTAACCATGGATTCGAATGTCTTTCTTTTCTAGTTGAACAAGTTGGGATGACTGACACAATCAATCAATCAAAGTTTGTGGTGAGTGGTTACGATACCCCCCCCCAAGGAAGCACTTGAGATGGGCTTTGGTCTCTCCACCGTCACAGCTTCTCTGACGTAGTTTAAAATAACATTCATTCCCCTCATCCCACCGTCTTTGATTGATTCTGCTCCATCAAGTGGAGCAACCACATAAATACCCCTCCTTGACGTTCTGCGATTATCCTAAGATTAAAGGATAGAAGGTTGACCAGAGGACAGCCATTTCTCATTTGTGGGTGGCTACAAGTGATTTATCTCGCCTGCAACTGTACTTTTATCTAGACATTTTATCTGCGCTGGTCTTTGGTAACAGGATTCAATGCAGAACAATTTTTTTCCCCCTGCAGCATTTCAATTACGGAACGGCGTTTTTCTCTTGAGAATTCTTTCCACGGCATCTCAGTGGGTCTCCGTCAGCACTGCAGCTTGTCAGGAGCTGATCGGAGATTCGGACTCTCGCCACCCTTCGGGCCTTCCGGACNCTGCTGCACACGGCTGGCTCCTATTTAAATGGTTGTCCACTAGGACTCCAAGATCTCCCTCACAGTTACTACTATGTGAGAGAGGAGGACTAGAAAAGAAGAGGAGGAGAGGAAAAAGAGGAGGGTGGGAGGGAGGGAGGGAGAAGGAAAAAGAAGTCTGGGTAAGTAGCAGAGGAAAAGGAGAAGGGAGACAGAGGAGGAGGAGGGGGAAAGACAGAAGAAAAAGGAGTTAGTCCTCTTTCACTGGTAACTTCATTCCTGTTTGTCACAAATTTGTTACGAAACTGTGTTGACTTTTTTGGCAGCTGCTGCACACAGCTGGCTCCTATTTAAATGGTGGTCCCCTAGGACTCCAAGATCCCTCTCACAACTACTATACTATTGAGCTAGGTACCACCTGTACTGTACCTGTGCAAATCATACGGTACAAACAACAAGTGATAAAACATAGGAACCAATAGGAGAAGGTAGTACGGTAGGAAAAATGAGAAGGTGAGAAAGACAAGAAGGATAATAGCAACACAGCCCTATTACATGGGTAAATATCCTTGGGCCCAAGATAGGGCCGTAGGAATTAGGAGCAGAGGGGTGGCCTGTGGGGGGAAACACACCTACCAAATCAAACACAAAGACCTCGGAGGTAACAAAGACTTTCAAATTTTACCTTCTTGTAGAATTTGTCCAGTAGCGGGATGGTGGTGGTCGGAGGGGAGAAGAATTCCGGCTGGAAGTCCGGCTTCACCCTTTGGATGGCCGCCAGGATCATCTTGACTTCGTTGTCTTCGTACGTGGAATCCTTGAAGAAGCTTTGCAAGGAGAAACCGTCACTTTCCAGCTGCTCAATGCATCTGTTGGAGAGAGGAGAGCCTGAGCAGGAAGCCCTTGACGTACGACCATCTTAGGACCATTTGTCACACTTAACGACCGCTGCAGCGTCTCCCTGGTCATCTGATCGAAATTCAGACTCTTGGCAACTGGCTCGCATTTATGACCGTTGCAATGTCCTGGGGTGACGTGATCCCCCGTTTGTGACCTTCTGACAAGCAAAGTCAATGGGGAAGCCAGGTTCTTATACGGGAGGATATTCCTCAAGTTACGACCGCAATTGGGATCCGAAGTGTCATTCCTAAGCAAAGAATGGTTTGCTAAGCGACTTGTGCCCAGTCTTATGACCTTTCCCGCTACGGTTGGTAAGCGAATCACCGCAGATGCTAAGACGATGCAGTCGTTATATGAATCTGACATTCCCCGCTGACAAATGGCAATCACATGATCTCGGGAGGCTCATGATTTAATTAGGGTCAGAATCCTGACACAGGGACTGTTACCAAAACAATTTGTTTGAATGTAATAATCATGGCCTTCCGAAAAGCTGTTCATGGCCTTCCGAAAAGCTGTTCAAACCTGGCTATTCCGGCAGGCCTGGGGCTGTTGACCTCATTGCTNATCCGTGATGATGTCTCAGGCATACCCGTAGTCCTTAAAGTTAGACTTGGGACTTAGAATAACTTTGTCATTTTAAATGCACACTAATCGGCATACATTAAAATGAAATTTCCTTGCATACAGCTCTCAAAGGGTCACCACCGCTAATACATACTACAGAAACATGACAAAAATGTAAATAAATAAAAATTATGCATCTACCCACATATATTCTATAACACAGAAAAAACAACAGTCCAATTCAGATGTACATGGAGAAAAATGAATCTTGTGAGTTTATCAGACGGATGGCATAGGGAACATAGCTGTTACAGACTTGGTAGTTCTGTTAGAAATACTTTGAAACCTTACCCCCACCCCCACCCCCGAGGGGAGCCACAAAAACAGACCGTAAAGTAGATATGTGGGATCTCTAACAATGCTTTGAGATCTAAGCACATAATGCTTATAAGCTGTATCCTGAACAATGGGAAACGAGCTTCCTATAATCTTCTCCACTGTCCTCACTACTCTCTGTATGGACTTTCTATTTGAGCTGTCAGCAAACCAAACAGTGACACAGTTTGTTAAAACAACCTCAATCGTGCCTCGGTAAAAAGTGGCCAGGACAGAACGAGAAAGATGCGCTCTCCTCATCCAATGCAGAAAATGGAGATGCCTTGACTTATGACCAATTGCTTAGCAAGCGTTTGAAGTTCAGACAGTCTACTTGGGGGGATACAGGTTGCCCTCAATTTACAACCATACGTTTAGTGACCGTTCAGAGTTATGACAGCTCTGAAAAAAGTGATTTAGGACCGTTTTTCACAGTTATGACTGTTGCAGCCTCCCCACGGTCACATGATCAAAATTTGGATGCTTGGCAACTGGCTCGTATTTATGATGGTTGCAGTGTCCCGGGGTCATGTGATTCTCTTCTGCGACCTTCTGACAAGCAAAGTCAATGGGGAAGCCAGATTCATTTTACAACTCCTGTTATTAACTTAACAACTATAGTGATTCCCTTAATAAATGTGGCAAGAAAGGTCATAAAATGGGGCACAACTGTCACACTTAGCAAAAGAAATTTTGGGCTCAATAGGGTTGTAAGTTGAAGACTACCTGTACTTAGGACCCAGATTCAAAATTCTAAAGCTTCCCCTCCCAAAGTCATGTGATCATACCAAACACAAATGGGATGGGATGGGATACGATGGAGTGGGGTAGAGTGGAATAAAGAGTGGAGTGCAGTGGGAATGGGAATAGAATAGGATAGGATAGGATAGGCTTTATTGGCCAAGTGTGATAGGACACGCAAGGAATTTGTCTCCAGTGTACATACAAACGATGAAGTGATAAGTCACAGATCATAAATCATATTACAGTCCTAAATAGAATAGAATAGAATAGAATAGAATAGAATGACAGAGTTGGAAGGGACCTTGGAGGTCTTCTAGTCCAACCCACTGCTTAGGTAGGAAACTCTACACCACTTCAGACAAGTGGTTATCCAATCTCTTCTTAAAGACTCCCAGTGTTGGAGCATTCGCAAGTTGTTCCACTCATTAATTGTTCTAACTGTCAGGAAATTTCTCCTCAGTTCTAAGTTGCTTCNGCTCGCAAATGACTCCCTACGCTCCCCCCGCTTTTGGCATGCAATGGGAAAAAGATTAGCCATCACTGAACTACCACATATGTGCAAGGGGAACATTTACCTTGACTTTTAAGCCCCTTTATCCTTTTACAGAGACTGTATATTTAAATAATTTTGGCTTTGGCCACAGTACTCATTTCCTTATCATTTGCAAGATGCATTTGAAGGATTGCTTTTTAGTTTCTTTGAACCATCCCACCTTTTGCAAGACTCAGCAGGTCCGCTGGGCAGGAATCTTGTCTCGGGGCAAGCTGTGGCTCTCAAACGTGTCCCAGCAGAGTTGGCAGATATGTTCTGTCCAGCTGGGATATTGCCTAGGTAACAAAAGCATCTGTTTAAGCCACTCGGCATCCAAGTCATTAATCTTTAGCCTGTGGCAGGAGCATTAACCCTCCCTGAAAACAGTGATGAATTTTTAATGAGGGCAAGGAGTTTTGCCCACCTTCTTGCTAAATGGGATCTCTATCACAATCTTTCCCTTTGCTGGATCCGAACTCAGAGAGTGGTGATTGCCAAAACACGTCCCAAAATACCAAACCTAAGATTTTTGGAAACAGCCCTTCTCGCCTTTGATTAGAGTCATTTTGTTCCTCGCAGCATTTCCATGGGGGAGAGTTTGACTGTTTTTGAACCACCTAACGCTGCCTCACACTTTGAAGGGCAATTAGTGCTCTGTTCACACTTGATCAAAGACAGTGCAAATCAAATGCAGGGGAGTGCACGAAGGCAACAGCCCCCTATTACCACCCAAAGCCAAGGATGATTCAGATGTTTTATTTCAAGAATGTACTCAAAACATATTCACTGTGGAACGTTGAATAAAAACTTTAGAGCTGATAGAAAGTCAGGGAAACTGACTCAGGGCTCCAGAAATAGATGAATCTGGTCTGGAAACAGAAAAACAAAATTCCCTTTTTTTCTGTTAACATGGGGGGGGGGGGAATTAAAAATTGTTGCAATTTTCTGTGAGCCTGAAATCTGTGGAAATGCTAAATCTCAAACTCCTCTTAAAATGCCTGCATTTTAAAGGCACTTTTAAGTTTTTGCCTATTACTTCTTGGGACAGAATGCGATGTAGTTCGCATGAAGAGCAAACCATAGAAAGGGAGAATCCATGCCAAAATTTAGACGGGGCGGGAGGAGGATGAAATTTTTTTGCTGTCTTTTTGGAATGGGGCAACGGCATCGTTCTTCCTAGCAGGCCAGATTCAGTTATGGAAAATTAATCAGTACCAGATCATGTGATCAGAATAAATTCACATCTACCCCTCACTCCATCCCAGGTAAATAAAAATCTGTTCCAAATCAGTTTTTGGACCCACACCCAGGCTTTCTCTGAATCTATTATCCATCCATGATAATTGAAGATGAACAGCAAGAGACGGACAATGTGCTAGAGCACTGATTGCAAACCTTTTTTGGCTCGCATGCCATAAGGGGAGTGCAGGGGAGTCGCGCGCCGGTGTGCCGCACCCATAATGCAATACGAGACACCCCCTGTGCGCATGCGTGCATGAGGTGCTCCTCCCATTTTTTGCATCCTTTTTTTTGCCCTTCCCAGGCTCCAGAGGCTTTATAGGAGCCTGGGGAGGGTAAAAACAGCCTCCCCCCGCCCCCCGGAGGCCCTTCAGAGGCTTCAGGGACCTTCGGGAG